TGTGAACGTATATGTACCTTGGATGGGACCTGAGCAGATGTGCTTCTTTTTGAGGAAGTGTCTTCTCTCCTTAGCACTATCAGTGAGGGCGAACTCCTCCTTCTCGGGGGAGATATCAGTTGATCCCTCGAAAGGCGGGACCATGGTACCCAGAAGAACCCAACACCGGTGAAGTTGAGGGACTTGTCACTTGGTAGATGTCTGGTGAAATCTCCATCCCGATTCCTTTGCTTTCACCTTTTGTGAGGCCTGGGGTGCACACGCTCGCGTACACACACCCCGTGACCCGAAGGCCTCCATGCAGCAGGTGCTGTTTTCTGATCACAACCTGGTCTGTGTGGAGCTCATTCCGTTCAGCGCCAGGCGAGGTGGGTGTATGTGAGATTGTGGGTCCAGTTCCTTCAGGGTCTCAACTGCGGCTCCTCTTTCTGATTGCTGGAAGGAAGGTGCGGGGTCCTCCAGCAGCTTCCTCTGTTGCCAACCGATGAGTCCCTTGCCTCTTATCCGGAGGGCATCAGGGCCCAGATAAGGGACTATTATAGGGCTGTCTTCTCTCCGCATTTGTCGAGTGAGGAAGCTTGCAGGGTTTTGTGGGAGGACTTCCTACAGGTAGCCCTGAGGGTGCCGACAGGCTCAATGTGCCTCTGACCTTAAAGGCACTGACTGGTGCTCTTGACCGTCATTCCAGGGGCAAGTTACCAGGGTTGGATAGGCTGACCCTGGAGGTTTTCAGGGTGTTCTGGGTGGGTTGGGGGTGCGACTATATGCGCGGATCCTGGAGGAATGAATCACGTCCAGAGAGCTGGCCCTTCCTTAGCACAGGGTCATCATCATTCTGTTGCCTAAGAAGAGTGATCTCCATTTGTTAAAGAATTGGCGTCCGGTCCCCTGCCTCAGCATGGACTACAAAATCTTTTCCAAGGCACTTTCAACTGACCTTGGTACAGTGCTGGACCACGTGATCCACTCTGACCAGTCCTACATTGTCCCAGGCTGACACATCCACGACAACATCCACCAGGTCCGGGATGTGGACCATTATTCCCAGAGGGCTGGCCTGTTGAGTGCCCTTGTCTCCCTTGATCGGGAAAAGGCATTCGTCAGAGTGGATCACGAATATCTGCTCAGAACTCGGCAGGCACTCTGGTTCGGGATGCACTTTGTCGCCTAGATCCGACTTCTGTAAGCCACTGCGGCGTGCCTAATAAATGTTAACTGGTTCCTGATGGTGCCCCTGCGCTTTGGGAGATGTGTATCAATGCTGCCCCTGTCTAGTCAGCTTTATTCTCTCTGCGTGGAGCCATTCTTGCACCTCTTGTGTAAGTAGCTTTCAGGTTTATCTCTGTGCAGGCCCGGGCTGGAGGTGGTTTATTTAGCGTATGCCAACGGCGTGCTCCTCGTGTTCACAGACCCAACTGAACTGTGGAGGATGCCCGAGTTCCAGGAGGCGTACTCTGCAGTGTTTTCCAAGAATCAACTGGAGCAAGTCTTCACAACTTTTGGGTCAGTCCATGGCTGATAGATATTCTGCCGGAGGAGCTCTGGTGCTTCATGTGAAGTACCACTCACCACCTCAACTGAGGAGTCCATCTTTGCCCTGCTGAGGAATCCTAGCCAATGAATTGGCATGAGTTGGAGACCAAGGTGAACACTGTCCTAGTACACTGGACAGGACTGCTCCAAGTGTTGCCCTACAGGGCGCAAGTGCTGGTCATAAACCAGCTGGTGGCTGCCATGTTATGGTACTGGTGGGTCACTTTGCACCCTCCAGTTGGCATTCTCACCACCGTCCAGAAAAAGCTTGTTGAGTTTTTCTGGGACAAGAGACAACACTGTGTCAATGCTGCGATTCTGTGTCTCCTGCTTGAGGAGGATGGTCGAGTGCTGGTGTGTTTTTGCACCCAGGCAGTGCTTTTCTGCATTCAGACTCTGCAGTGATACCTTTTACATTGCGCCTCCTCCAAGGTGGTGCGCCCTGATGACATATTTCTTCCGTCGAGTGTGTGGTATCCATTACGACACACAGTTCCTGTTCAGGCGTGGTCCCAATCTCAGGTCGTCTTCCAGGAATTGCCTGTCTTCTATCTGGACCTGATCATAGTGTGGGACACGGTGGCGGACATGCTGGATGGCAGAGGAGTAGGCTGGATAACACGAGCATAGTTGACTGCAAGGGTGTCAGTCTACCTCTGGTTCACGATCTGAGCCTGCTGGATGAGGCAGTCGACCCTGACACTTTGCGTGCCTTTGAGGTGGCTCAGGCATGCGGTGGCCTTCTGGACGAACTGGCCACTGTCTTTCTGGAACTTGACATCAGCCCGGGGCCGCGGACACTCTCCCATGATGTGGTGTCCCACAATCTGAGCCGTCTCAGGGATATCCTCCTGGTGCCCTTTCAAATTGCACGGAGATGTTATTTGTATTGGTTGATGCTGTACAGTCTCCACTGCCATGCCTTCAGCCGCCGCCCGGACACGCCTTGGTGTAACATTTTGCCCTCCGGCAGTGGAGATCCCCAGTAGAGTGCCTCTCCTCTTACAGTAGCGGTTTGGGGTGGAGAGTGCTGCATGTGGTGGTCCTGTACAGCAGGAGAATGAGCAAGTGTATTGCGTGCCAGACCAGGTGCACATGCTGTGGCCTAGAGGAGATGGACTTCCACTGTTATGTCGTGTGCGTTTGTTTGCAGCTTCTTAGTTTTTTGAGGTGCTGCTGTTAAGATTTTGTTTGCACTTCAGCCCCACGTTGCTGATCTGCAGGCACCTGGTGCGGGGAGGGGCGGATGGCTTTGGTCCTGGGTCTAACCAATATGGCCATCAACAGGTCCAGGCAGCAGGCCAAAGAAGAGCTTGTTCCTGATTGTCTGCTTCTCTTTCACAGTGGCATCCATGCGCAGGTGTTCCTGGAGAAGGAGCACGCGGTGCTCACTGGCACGGTTGAGGCCTTTTGAGACTACTGGGTGCCACGGGGGCTGGAGTGCATTATCAACCTGGATAATGATATTCTGATTTAGTTAATTGTCTGTAGTATAAATTTCTGTTTTGCCTTTTGAGTTTGGCAGAGCCAAGGGGGTTTTTATTTTAGCCCTGAACTGTCCCTGTTCCAGTTCCAGTCCCAGAAGCGCTTGATGGAGATCAGTGTGAGGGGAACTTTTACCTTCAGTTGAAATTATCAGGTAAACTTAGCTGGATTTTTAAAACATTGTTGTCCCTGCCCCCGACATGTTCGATGGGGATGGGGCAGAGAAGATTTATTTATTTAGTTGTTTGTTTATTTAATTATTTTATTTGATTTTCTTTGAGTTTATTTTTATTTTGGCCGCCTGCGGTCCCTGCCCAAAAGAGGTTGGTAAGGTAGGCCATTTTTGTTTTGCTTGTTCATGTGTTTTGGTTTTTCCCCAGAGTAATAGCCCCTTTATTTTTGCTTAACAAAGTCAAGGCAGTATTATTTTTGGTTTCAAAAGAGCAGAGTGAGCTTTGCTCTGTGTTTCACCTGGTGCTGTCCCTGTCCCGGGAGTGTATAATGGGGGCAGTGTCGGGGGTGTCTTGGTTATTTCTGTTTACACATTTTGTTTAAAAGAGTGGAGGGTTGCTTTTCGGACAGGAGGCCTCTTACCAGCGGTGTTCCATAAGGATCGGATCTGGGTCCTGTTTTGTTTGTTATTTATATAAATGACTTGGATGAGAATACAGAAGGCTTGGTAAGTAAGTTTGCTGACGACACCAAAATTGATGGCATAGTGGGTAATGAAGAAGGTTTTCTAAGATTACAAAGGAGTCTTGATCAAATGGGTCAATGGGCTGAAAAATGGCAGATGGAGTTCAATCTAGAAAAATGCGAGATATTGCGTTTTCGTACAAGATGCAAGAGTCAGGCTTATACAACTAATGTTAAGGCCTTGGGTAGTGTTGTAGAACGGAGGGACCTAGGGGTTCAGGTACATAATTCTTTGAAGTTTATGTCGTATATAGACAGGGTGGTGAAAACTGTGTTTAGCACGCTTTCCTTCATTACTCAATCCTTTTGAGTACAGGAGTTGGGAAGTCATGTTGTATAGGATATTGGTGAGGCCTTTTCTGGATTACTGTATCCTGGTCTAGTCACCCAGTTATAGGAGGAACACTATTAAGCTGGAGATGGTTCAGAAGAGATTTACCAGGATGTTGCCAGGTTTGGAAGGTTTGAGTTATAAGGAAAGGCTGGATAGGCTGGGACTTCTTTCACCGGAGCGTAGTAGGTTGAGAGGTGACTTTATCGAAGTTTATAAAATAGTGAGGGGTATGGATAGAGTAATGGTATTTGTCTTTTCCCTAGGATGGGGGATTTCAAGATGAGGGGCCACAATTTTAAAGTGAGAAGAGAGATTTAAAAAAGACATGGGGGTAAATGTTTTACACAGAGTGTGGTTTGCATGTGGAATGATTTTCCTGAGGAAGAGGTGGATGCGTGTACAATTGCAATGTTTAAAAGACATTCGGATAAGTACGTGAATAGGAAAGGTTTGGAGGGATATGGGCCAAGAACAGGCAAATGGGCCTAGTTTATTTTGAGAAAATGTTCGGCATGGACCAGTTGGACTGAAGGATCGGTTTCTGTGCTGTACGGCTCTCTGAGTTTCTGTCTGTTTCTATGATTCTATGGCATGAACCCTTACTGTGTGTCATAACCTCTGTGACTCCTCATTGAATGTTTGCTTATTTTTGAAAATCCTCGCACACAACACCCACTGGGAGCTCAGTTTCACATCACCACTGAGGGCTGCTGCCGTCGCAATGAGAACCATGACAGCACATCATCGCAGGGTCAGATAAAACACAGCAAAGTGAAGAGATCTGTGCACTTGTGCAGGAGAGGTGCTTAGAGAGGAGATCAAACCAAGTGCACTGAGAACGTCAGTCCATACCATCCCAACTCCGGGGAGAGATAGAAGACAGAGTTGAATCAGCAGAATTAGAGCATTTCCAAAGCTGAATAATGAAGCCTGTTATTCATTTCTGTTGCAGTGGAGAAGATAATCGCTGAGACAGAAGACAAGTATCAACAGATGGCACTCAAAGTGGTCTATACGATCCTGTCCATCTAGGTCGTGGGTGAAGGAGCCAGCCTGGAACAGCATCAAGAGCGCTTAGGGATTCTGAAGAACCTTTCTGAAGATGTGACGGACCCTGAAAAACAAATCCAGTTTCAGAAGTGTCATCAGATCACAGAGCTGACTTGCCAGAACCTGCTGCGTGGTCATTTGAACAACCTGCTGCTCATGGTGTGTGGCAGCTTGTCTGACCAACAACTTAGCTGTACCTTGTTGGCTTCCTTGCCGTTAGAAGACCTCTTCCTACGACAGAGATGAAAACTTCAGGGCCATGTCTTTCATATCCTTCACGTGTTGGGGCTTCATTTGGAGTTAATCCCTCACCAGGAGGTGAAATGGTGAGTTCTATGAGGGATAACCTCTTTGACCTCACAGAACTTTTCAGCAGCTATGTCCCAGCTACTGCTCTGTCGCCTGGAACTGGGATGTGTAGAGAACAGTAGCTGAGGATAGATCCAGCCTGGTGAGTACTGTCAAACATTCTGTGTACTCACTTGAGGGAAAATCCTGCCCCATCAGTGGGGACGTGTACTTGGCCGATATCTCGCTGACTCTTATCCACGGTCTGTATGAAATTCTCATTCAGCCTGGGATGGCAGACATGGTGAGGACATTGTTCCCACAGATATTCAGTGGCCTACTTGTATCTCTCTCCAGTAGGATGAGTTTCTCTCTGCCCAATGATTCGGAAAGGTTTCACAGCTGTGTTTGATGTTGATACACACCTTTCATTCAGTGACCAACTTGTGAGGTCAGTCGAGGCCCTGTTTGATCTGACTGCTCAAAATGACAAGATGGTGATGGTAGGAGGATGGCAACAGCTACTAAGGGTTACATTTGATCAGGGGTTTGCTCTGCTGGCCATTTGCAGGCGATAATTTGTCTAACACTGTACATCGACTGGTTTCCCAAATCTTGTGGCTCCAAGACTGTCAGGCATTTCCTGTAATCATCATTTTTGGGGAACTCCTGAAAGCTCCAAGTTTCCGAGCTGTGTCTCAGATACTTTTGCTAGCTCAACTCCTCCCTTGTTATCCAGTTGCTCTGTGTCATAGCTTTAGAAAAGATTGATTCTGGGGTGAGGCGACACTGTCGGAGTGTGACCGATGTGTTAGTAAGCCAGTTGGGGAATGTGGAGAACACTGATGTATTTACAGAGATAGTAAGAA